TACATAACCATGTTAACAAAGGGAGAGTTCCTTACATAACCATGTTAACAAAGGGAGAGTTCCTTACATAACCATGTTAACAAAGGGAGAGTTCCTTACATAACCATGTTAACAAACATATTTTGCCATGAAGCTAAGTCAGATTCTGTAACAACTAAGGTATATGAGGGGGAAATACTGCCTTAATGGCAAGCTAGCTTTTCCAGTCATGCGGTATAACCTGGGGACCCTCTCAAATTCAGCAACGTTGAGCGTGGTCAGTCTTTGGAGGGGAGACCGACCACATGTTACCATTCTAGGATAAAATGTCTGATACTTACCTTCCACTATACACTCAAGCTTAGCATTGAATCGTCTGTTCTGAGCCTGCCCGACCGTATCCTGTACCGCACGGCAGCTCGGAGAATAAAAGATTTTGACTTCAACTGTGAATCTTGCTGGGGGTCGGACAGAATTGTCAGCCACGCAAATGTAGTTACCACGGTCTTTCTTATTGAGGTTGATCAAACTTAGATTGGCGCCCTATATAATGTACATAATATGGAATCAATCACATGATAACTTAGATTGACACCCTATATATTGTACATAATACGGAATCAGTCACATGGTTACTTAGATTGGCACCCTATATAATGTACATAATACGGAATCAGTCACATGATAAATTAGATTGGCACCCGATAATGTAATAATACGGAATAAGTCACATGATAACTTAGATTGGCACCCTATATAGTGTACATAATACAGAATCAGTCACATGATAACTTAGATTGGCACCCGATAATGTAATAATACGGAATAAGTCACATGATAACTTAGATTGGCACCCTATATAGTGTACATAATACAGAATCAGTCACATGATAACTTAGATTGGCACCCTATATAATGTACATAATACGGAATCAGTCACATGATAACTTATATTGGCGTGTGATATAATGTACATAATACAGAATCAGTCACATGATAACTTAGATTGGCGCCCTATATAATGTACATAATATGGAATCAGTCACATGATAACTTAGATTGGCACCCGATAATGTAATAATACGGAATCAGTCACATGATAACTTAGATTGGCACCCTATATAATGTACATAATACGAAATCAGTCACATGATAAACTCAAAGGACTTAGGGCGTTATGGATCATCGTTTGCCTCATCAAATGTGAAAACAATCAACTTTAATTTATTTATTAAAAGGTTCTGAGTTTGTGGTTTTTTCTTTGGTTTAAACAATATTTATTGCATATATCAAATATAATAAGTACACAGGTTAATAGGAATATTAATAGAATCTGGCAACAAGATTTTAAATCTTGTATAAAGCCATCTACCTTGAAATGTAATTACGTTAAAGAAATACTTCAACATACATTTAATTAATACACATAACTTGTTTAGATTAACAGTTTGTGATAATTCTGACCATGTTATGTGATGAACCAAAAATTGAAAAAAAATACATAGGTAGGTATGATGGAAGAAGGGTAACACTAACAGTTAGTTTTTTCAAACATTCAAATTTCAAGTAACCATGATTCTGTCAAGGGTTCTAAAGATACGATACAGTCCGGTCTACCTACTCAAAGGATCAGCGTATAGTAACCCCTGGATAGTGGAGGATGGGTAAAATGTGATTTTTATGAAATATGTCTTTTGAAATTATCTAGATTGACAGTGGTAGTTGACAGTGGTAGTAATATGGTTTAGACAGTGGTAATAATATAGTTTAGATTGACAGTGGTAGTTATATTGTTTAGATTGACATTGGTAGCAATATAGTTTAGATTGACAGTGGTAGTAATATAGTTTAGATTGACAGTGGTAGTAATATAGTTTAGATTGACAGAGGTAATAATATAGTTTAGATTGACAGTGGTAGTAATATAGTTTAGATTGACATCGGTAGTAATATAGTTTAGATTGACAGAGGTAATAATATAGTTTAGATTGACAGTGGTAGTAATATGGTTTAGATTGACAGTGGTAGTAATATAGTTTAGATTGACAGCGGTAGTAATATAGTTTAGATTGACAGTGGTAGTAATATGGTTTAGATTGACAGTGGTAGTAATATAGCTTAGATTGACAATGGTAGTTATATAGTTAAGATTGACATTGGTAGTTATATAGTTTAGATTCACACTGGTAGTAATATAGTTTAGATTGACAGTGGTAGAAATATAGTTTAGATTGACATTGGTAGTAATATAGTTTAGATTGACAGTGGTAGTAATATAGTTTAGATTGACAGTGGTAGGAATATAGTTTAGATTGACAGTGGTAGTAATATAGTTTAGATTGACATTTGTAGTAATATAGTTTAGATTGACATTGGAAGTAATATAGTTTAGATTGACAGTGGCAGTAATATAGTTTAGATTGACAGTGGTAGTAATATAGTTTAGATTGACATTTGTAGTAATATAGTTTAGATTGACATTGGTAGTAATATAGTTCAACAAAAATCAAGCTTACACGGCATTTAGATTGACATTGGTAGTAATATAGTTTATATTGTTTGTACCCTTAAATCACCTTAAGCTGAATATATTCTGAACCTGAAGAGGTGAAAGTACTAGGCTGTTTTCGTTTAAACGGTTGAACTGTTTGGACCATAGTTGTTTGTGTATTTAATATGGTTGGACCTAGTAATCTAATGCTGCTTTCAGGCGAGCCTTGACAAAACCTTCCAAGGTCTGCATAAACATTTGCAGATCTGCGAGGATTTAAACCCGAAAAAAATACATTTAAAGACGACCAAACCGGCACATAAACGAGCAGGCCCCTAGAGAAGTACTGAGAAACCCTTTTGTCATTTCCTTTATGTCTATATATTTGCATGTGGAAATTTATGTGCTCAATGCAACAAAAATCAAGCTTACACGGCAAGAATTATTCCTGTTTTACTGTAATGAAACATCTTTGAGCTAAACAAAAATCCCAAGTAAACAAACCCGTGACTGGAAGTTGCCGTTTGGGAGCCTGTGACCATCCTCTCTCTTCCAGGTGATGTTTGGTGCCGGGTTTCCAAAGGTTAAACAAGCCAGGGTGATGTTTCCGCCGACCGCTCTCTCGTAAACACTCTCCATGATTTTGGACATAACAGGAGCCACTACCGACACAAGAAAATACAATTAGTAATGTACAATCTCTCGTAAACACTCTCCATGATTTTGGATATAACAGGAGCCACTACTGATACAAGAAAATACAATTAGTTTTGTTTGTCTGTGTTTTACGTCCTATTTACAGCTATGGTCATTTAAGGACGTGCCAGGATTTGGTGGTGGAGGAAAGCCTGAGTTCTCATCAGAAAACCACAGACCTACGGCCAGTACCTGATGGCTCCCAAAATTAGGTCTAAAACCCGCGACCCAGTGGTGGAGGGCTAGTGGTAGCAGAATGTCAGATGCCTTAACCACCTGGCCCCTCATGCATGGAATACGGGTATAGTATTACACTCTGTATATCAGGAAAATAATTTAGATTTTGCCGAAAGTTTGACCCATAGAGAAATTTGAATCTTCAAAGTTCGACGAATTATAATGGAATTTTCATAGCAGATGTATTTAAAGCATCACTCTTAAATACAACCACTTACCTTGAACCATGAGTTCTCCAAGTTTACTCGGCCATGTTTCCCAGTTCTGATTCTGCTGGCGAATAAAGCAGGTGTAAAACCCAGAATCCTCGTCTGACAGTACTCGTACGATTAGGGTGTATCTTGTACGAAGTCCGAGTTTCTGTGTATAGAAGACAAACAGAATTTTCATCATATTATAAAATACAATCATACTGATTCCAGTTAATGTTAAATCCTGATAATGATCAATGACGAGGATACTATGATTGGAGTCTTTGGAAGCGACTTTAGCACACTTTGTTGACCTTTAAACTGTAGAACTTATGTGGACCCCTAGGAGTCTAAGACACAGACAGAAAATTTCTATTAATAGTAAGAGCAACCTTGACCTTTAACTACACAGGTAAAGAGTATCATCAAGTTAAAATGTATATTTTATCATACTTATGAATTATTTATAGTGAAAGGCATGGTGATCATTGTAATCCTTTATGGTTGATCAATTATAACTAATACTATAATCCATATGTTGTTAAGCGCTTTAGATTAATTTTCCAAATTATATAGGGCACTTTACAATGTATAAATATTGTATATTATAACAAATTCCTTAAAAAACAGGCCTTACAATGCATTTTTGGATTTTTTGCTGTTCTATTTTTAAAGTATTTTTTGCACCCATGGTTACGACCTCCTTACTGCAAGTATGACCTACAGCTTACCGACACTATGATCTTACCGACACTATGATCTCGTATTTCGGCTCCCCTGAATCCTCCCGCTCCCCTTGGGCGATGTTGTTTGCAACAAGGATACGATCATCCTCACTTATGTCAAATGTGGCGATACTGGAATCATCCATCTTCCCCTTCTGCCAGCATACCTGTAAACAAAGAAATACTCTGATTAATAATGATGATATACAACATTTGATATAGCGCCCAATCTAGATAGAATAAGCCACTTTAAAGCGCTTTACAGTACATAGATATACAATTTATACAATCAATACAATTATCATATGCATTAAACAATACAATTTTTCACAGGAGCTGCCTTATCAGGCGGTTATTATAACAACTAGTCCTATGCCACCTGGCTAATAACTCCCTAAGTGTGTATGCTTGCTAATAAATGTATTCTGTTCTGTTTGTAGTAGGACCGTGCTTCCAACGGTATCATTTATAGTGCCACGTACCTCACTTGAATAGTACACATAGAAACCGTAACCTTCTGCGTGGAAAGCCGGAGTGTTAACCACTCGACCAATCCGGCCTCATGCATATATAGCAGCTTTACATCTCTAGTAGGACCTCTTAACCCATTCACCCCTATGTAACTTTAGTAAACTCTACCATGCATTGATCTAGATAAGTCCATTATGGTCTACAGTGATGAAAGGGTTAAATCAGGGTACAAATGGCAGTATATTGCCCATTGCAACTAGTTAAAAAGTGTTTATGTCAGGACTAAGAAAAACTTCCAATATCTACCATTAAAGAACGAACATGGCAATCAAAATATTGTTTTCAAAGTATTTTACCTGCAGACTACTACTTAAACTCATTCACCCCTGAAGACACACTTGAATAATTCAAAGGTTGAAATAGTCCCTGATGAAATGTTTTGGGTAAATGAGTTAAACATGGAATGACATAGCCCTTAAGGGGAGGTAATCCATGACTTACCTTCTGACCTTCTTGTTGGTTCACCACGGTGCAGTTTAGATATCCCGTACTTCCTACTGGTTTCACTTCAGGAAAAATCTCACCAACGATTTCAGGTAACTGACCGTTAACTGAAACATTCAATATTGCTATCAACTTTAAGTTTGGCACATCACAGCAAAAACATTTTATTTCTAAAATTCAAGATTCACAATAGAATACTCAACACTGAAAATAATATGGTATTGAATTATAAAGCTGGCATCTGATAACACTAATTTACCGATAGTAAACTAGCCATCCTGGTTATATTTAGTTATCATGTAGGTTAAAAGGACCTTAACTTAGATTATACAAGTTTACTGATAATGTTACATTTTGTTATGTTCTGCTGTATCACTCATCATCTATGATGTCATGGTAAGGCTATAAAATTAAAGATAGCACTGCAGTACCTGGAGAAAATCACAACAATTGTGGGACCGCACAAAGTTACGTGATGTTGACTGTGTGAACGATGTGTAACTGATGAACTTATGAATGATTTTACCTCAAGCACATGTGTGTGTACGAAGGTCGAAAGATGTGAGATAAGCATGCAAACCATTAATTTTTAAATCTATATATATACTTTCTTTTGAGTATGTATAACCTTGTTTGTGTCCTTTTGCTGGTTTCCTACTCCATGGAACTTCAGTATCACAGCACGTATCTGAACTATCATACATTCATTGTAGTTTTTACATGGTTGTCAGTTTAGATCCACAGGGGCACGGTTCAATTTATCAATTTATATCTGATCATGAGGCCTCCTTGTTTATCATACATAATAATGGTAAACGCATCGAAGGCATTTTGGTCTCTGTGGAGTATAACCTATAGATAGATAGTAAACAAGGAGACCTCAGGCCTAAATTGATTTTTTTACATTTATTTGTTTTTTTACATTGTATACATCGTAGTTACCAATAATGGCATGACACGATGGGTTTATAAATTGAACCATGCCCTGTGGTAGATCTTCATGAGTTTGAAAGGATGCTATAATTTAATTGACATGTTTTGACCATCCAAACCTCATTGGGGACATCTGAAAATTCAAATTGCTAAATATCAAGGTTCACCTGAAAACACTGTATATAGGCCATATAGTCCTATAAAATTATACCCCCCCCCCCTTCTAAACCACACTATAAACACATTATTATATAGCATTCTATAGCCTTGCAATATCTAAAATGTATTTACCTGGGACAGTGTTTATACCTAAATGTTAATTCGCAGTTTCAAGTTAAAAAGTACATGTATACATATCCTATATTCTAACATAAACAAAAACACCGGAAGTCATTGCATCAAAGGAAAGCTATTTCAAATATGCTTACCGATATTACTGACTGGTTACCTGATATAGTTAACAGTCCCAACTTACCTGATATAGCTAACAGTCCCACAAGGAGACACACTGCAGTCTGATACATGTCGGTCTATAATATGTGTTTATCGACGTAAAATGTCTGTAGAGCAAGTCGTCCCTCAAGTCGAAATGCGTAACAACTACCTTAGAAGTACAGTCACCCGCCGTTAATCAGAGTGGAAGTTATGTCACGTGACCACAGTTAGCCAGGTGAAACACCTATCCCGGTTTGATCGATTTGTGAAAGATATGACAACACATGTTTGTTTTTATTTTGATAATTCATGCTGATTTTAATATTTTGACTAATGTGATGATGCCTTTTTATTGGTAGCTTAATTTATATTGCGTCGAGGTGTTGCACAGGTGTGTTGATGCACAGGTAACAAATTTTACGGATCACAGTGAAACAAACGGAACGAAAATATACAATACGATTTATATTGGGTTTTACCTGAAACCCGATGACATCATGCATTGGAGATGACCAATTAGTAAAACTAAAATACCTTAATCCTGAATTGCATTATTGTCAATATGTAAATAGGTATAAAGTTGAAAGCTATATCAATTTTAAATATCAAATAAAATATAAATGGGTCCGTGGAGATTATGTATATATGTAAGACATGTATTTTAAAATTCGGCTTGAAACCACGGAATTAGATTATCTAAGTCCGTGTTGAAATAACTTTTTATCATTATTTGGTGTCTGTGTGTGTGTGTGTGTGGGGNCATTCAATTCACAAGATGACCTGCTTATGATAATGTTGTGTGATTTTCAATGCTTACCTTTAAAATGTATCGGTGTTCAAATAAATATTCCATTCGTAAATTATCTTTCGCCTGATTTTAACTGTAAAGTGTCAACTTGTGTATAATTTACTGTGGCTATATTACTGTTATTGATCGACTAGAAACCTCTTTAATCATTTAAATCCGCCTTGTCATACTAATAAATAATAATAATGTACAACATTTGTATAGCTTCCTATGTAATTTGTAAAACTACTCGAAGATTCCCACAGTGACAGTTATAAGTATAGTAGGTTAAAACACATACGAGTACCAAGAATATGTATTTAGAATTATTGGTTACAAGTTTAAAAATATACTTTTACGACGTTTGTAATGATCATAAATTCAAGTTAATATTCAGTAAACATCTGTACAGTAATTGGGCAAATATTTCGTATAAAGCTCTACGTCCTATTTTGGTTCAATAAAATATAATACAATGTTATATTCAATCTGATAAGGAAGCTTTATACAGATTAGATAAAATCCAGTCTTAAGAAAACCCCATTATAAAATACAAAAAGCCAGATTACACGAAAGAAATAATGAATTTAATGGGAGTGAAGTTTTAATCGTTTTTCATTCACATGTACCGGATATTTACTATATGTATACGCTTATCTATTTATTTATTTATTTATTTTCAAAATGAAAATGAAAATCTAACAACACATACACAAATGATATCACTTTGAACTGCTTTCAGCTGACATTCATTGTGAATATGAGTGCCAGCTGGAGAAGATCAACTCTATAAAGCTCTATATAGCGCTTTCATTTTGAATTTATCATTTCTAGTTGGCATGTTGACTGGGAAAAAAACAATTTATTTATCAATCTTTTAATTTATATAATTTTCTATTTCGTGTATGTGTGTTTAGGGAACAGAGTAGTAATTTGCCTGTAGTATGTTAAGTTAAACCATGTTTTATTTATATCAATAAACATGTACAATTCCATGGACATTTCATTCAGATGATTGGGAAACAAGTGCTATTGTCCTTCTCATCATATATAACAAGCTTAGCTGATAATACATGTATAACTTTGCAGTGATAGCCTAAATATGTACATAAGAAACTGTAATGAGAAACAGATAGAACATGATATTAGGATAATAGGGATAAAGATAGTAACTGATGGAGTTTTACCCGGTTGGATGGGTAGTTAAGTTTACACGATAACTTTATGTGGTTGAATTATAATTGCTTGTAAATCTTCTGGTTGATTTGATAAAATTTTGAGTAGCTATAAAAATGTTTACATTTTGATCATATGTTTTTGATACTTCACCAAACAGTAATAAATCGACACTTAATTGGTAAGGCAATGGAGTCAAGTATCTTTGGCGTGATTCAATGAGATTAGTACAATATAACAAATAATGGGAACTGTCTTCTACAAAATGTCCACATGAACATAAGGGATTGTCAACAAGATTTCTTTCAAAAAGATGGCGTTTTTGTAAACTGCAACCGAAACGTAGTCTAGTATGATATACTTGATATTGTCTGTTTGAGTGGCCGTACACTGACAACGGTTGAACTATAACAGGGTTTATTGCCGAGAGTATCTGGGCATGAATCACAATGGGAATATCTATACGGGATGGTAAACACTGATAGCTCAGGGGTCAGTAGGGGTCAGGATAGCATGACTCATTACGACGATGTCTAGTACCTGTGGGGTACTTAGGTACTTAGCCTTGTCTAGTACCTGTGCTGTCCCCAAGATGTTTGTGGATGGAACTGTTTACCAATAATGAACCATTAAACAACAAATTGACCTGAGTTTGTTGTAACGACCTATTACATAATAATACCTCTTTTTTAATTTACTAGGGTTAACATTTACCTGCCACTCTTTTGACCAAGTATCAATTATAGCTAAATCATGGTTAATAAAAATTTCTTTTCCAATATCATTCGAAGAGTAGGCAAGTGACGTATCATCTGAAAACATTCTTGATAGAGAACGTAAATTATCAGATATGTCATTTATGAATATAAGAAATAAAAACGGACCCAGGACAGAACCCTGGGACACACCAGGCTTAAGATGAACGACTGAGGAATAAGAATCGTATATAAAACAATTTGATTTCTATCAATTAAGTAATCTTTAATCCACTTCCCGTAAAACTATCTAAGTTCTATCGAAAGCTTTTGATATATCAAAAATAACCATACAAGCCTGAGGTCTATCTTCTAATTTATAGTTATTAGTAATGTAGATATACACATTCCCTAATAATCTATTGTATACAATAAATAACAAGACAATATAAATCCCCTCCCCCTTAAAAAAAAAAGAAGAAGAAGAAGAAAGAAAGGAGAAAAAAAGACAGGAGATGAAACTGTAAATAAAGGAAACACAATTCATCAGCGATGAACGTTAATTGATTCCATAGAGTCGTCGATATTCATGACAAACCCAATTATCTCTTAAAACAATACACAACCCGGAGCGTTACATGCTGATGTACTCATATATGAATATTTTAATGGAAAACAGAACTGGGCTACAACATTTACAAAGTAAGTTATTTCAATACCAGTGCTATAAATAACCTGTGGCAGGTGACAGGTATATAGTCCCGAGTACCGACTACCTAACTGATATACAGGTGAACGTGACAGCGCACCACTTATAGGGCAGACAAGTATTTACATTTCGAAAAACACAAAGTAATAAACGTGAGAAAAATAAATTGAAATAAAATTCGTTTAACATTTTATTTAAAGCGTATTGATTTGACACACAGTGCACCAGCTCATCACGTTTTTTCCTACCGTGAACAAAACAGCCGACCCATATTAACTATTCCTTCTTATTTCAAACAACTTATGGAGTTGCTCTGAAAATATTAAAGAAACACAGACACCAGAGTTAAAATCGAATTTGAACATAATCACAATTGACAGCATATACTATCAATCTAAATGTTCTTTTTCAAAAGACGAAATTAAGGGACTTGTAAAAGGTGACTAAAGGATCAATTTATACAGAAATGGTTTAATGATATTCTTAACTCCTCTCGAGGACAAACATATTCAATATTTAAGACAAAGTTTGAACAAGAAAAATATTTAATACTTAATACAAATGATAGGAAAATTATGTGTAAATTTCGTTCTTGCAATATGCAAGAAAAGGGAAGATGGTTAGGTATTCCTCGTCAAGAAAGAACCTGTACATTATGTAATTCCGACATTGGAGATGAATTTCATTACTTATTTAAATGTGAAAGTGATTCATTTAAATGTCTAAGAGAGAAATATATACCAATATATTATTTTACTTATCCAAGTCAAATAAAAAGGCAAGGATTGTTTAATATATTTAATGTAAAAAATTAAACAAAAGTTTGTAGATTCCTTGAAAAAATATTAACTTAGTTTCTGTACGAGGTTGTGCTCCTTCTATATGTAACTATGCTATATATAATGTTGTAATTGTGTACTAATCATCACACGCCACGTATCATATTTACTATATGTATGTGACCTCTTGTTACACACGTGAGTGTGTCGGAGTGAATAAATAAAACTGGAAACTTGAAACATGATGATGATGATGATGAGACGGTGAAGGAGGTGTAGGGGAGTGGGGAGGGGTGGGTGTGCAGGGTGCTGGCCAGAGACAATAAGTTATACATATACAGACAATAAATGAGATTTAAATCATCAAATTCACAAATTACATCATGAAGCATTTTCAAAAAGTACTCAAGTACATGTAGGTTATAATATTTTTAAGAGATGTAACAGGTGCATCAAGTCGTTGAACACAGGTGAACATTTGATAACATTCTGAAAAAGAGAAATTTT